GGAACTGGGTACTATAGGCTCCCACTTAACTCTGTTTCCTTCGATGAACTTCCCCTGTGTATGTTTGCCTGTATGTACTAAAGTAAATACAATCAGATGGAAGTGATAAGTTGCCACCAAGTGCCTGTTTAGGCTGCGCAATCAGTGATTTTCAGCAACGAGGGTGATCCAGACTAATAGGAGCCACTTACTTGCCATGGGTACTATTAGCAACTTTTTTCTGACATCCAAATTGGCCTGTGATGCCCTTACTGCTATTAAAAGATGCTTCGTGTTGCATTGCAACATCAGGCAAATCAACACCCTGCTAATTTTGAAGTGAAAGTAAAATTAGGGTACAAGTGATACTGTTCCTAGCAACAGGGTTTGGCTTGTGACTTTACTGGAGTAGTGGGGCCCTGTTTGTTGGAAAGCCATGAACAGCTCTTTACAGAAAACATGCTGTACAATAGGACAAGCAAATGATGGTGGTTTTCAGAAGAGAGTGAAAAACAAGGTTTGGTTTTTAAAAACCATAACTATGGTATAAACCAGGCAGGCTGGAATATATTTTTTCTTACATAAATGAGTCATTAACAGGTTAAGCAACTGAGGTGATTCCTGCTTTACATTAGTCTTTGAATTTGCTGCATATTTCCTAAGGTCAAACACATTTATGGTTTTGGCTACTAATCAACAATATTAAAGCAATGTCTCTAAACCGTAAAATCATCTACCAAAATGTTTTTTTATATATATATTTTGTGCATTTTGTGTTTCCACAGACAGATGTTCTTAGCTCCTGAGCTAGCTGCTGTTATTAGCTTCTGTTCCTAACTTCTGTCCAAAGCTCCTGTCGCAACTGCTGTTCCTAGCTCCTGCCCTTAGCCTCTTTTCCTAGCTCCTGTTCCTAGCTCTTGTCCCTAGCTTCTGCCCGTAGCTCCTGATCCTAGCTCCTGTTACTACCTCCTATTTATGTCCCATTGTTTGAAAGTGCTTCCTCAGTAAGTTATCTTACTTGTGTTTTTATATATTTCAAGAGAGCCTTGCTGCAGACCTGCACTGTCAGGACTCAGATCTGCACTGTCAGGACTTAGACCTGTACTGTCAGGACTCAGACCTGCGCTGTCAGGACTTAGACCTGCACTGTCAGGACTCAGACCTGCACTGTCAGGACTCAGACCTGCGCTGTCAGGAGTTAGACCTGCACAGTCAGGACTCAGACCTGCACAGTCAGGACTTAGACCTGCACTGTCAGGACTTAGACCTGCACTNAGACCTGCACTATCAGGACTCAGACCTGCACTGTCATGAGTTAGACCTGCACCTTAGGACTCAGACCTGCACTGTCAGGACTCAGACCTGCACTGTCAGGACTTAGACCTGCACTGTCAGGACTCAGACCTGCACTGCCAGGACTCAGACCTGCACTGTCAGGACTCAGACCTGCACAGTCAGGACTTAGACCTGCACTGTCAGGACTCAGACCTGCACTGTCAGGACTCAGACCTGCACTGTCAGGACTTAGACCTGCACTGTCAGGACTCAGACCTGCAGACTTAGACCTGCACTGTCAGGACTCAGACCTGCACTGCCAGGACTCAGACCTGCACTGTCAGGACTCAGACCTGCACAGTCAGGACTCAGACCTGCACAGTAAGGACCCTTCATTGAAGATCTGCAAAATGTTGTCTCCTGCTCTTTCAGGACTGGAAGTTTATTCCGGAAGTAATATTTGAACCCTTTGGAGTAGTGTGCAGCACGTGTTTGCTGCTGGATTAGAGTTTATGAGAGTGTTAAACTGAGCGTAGGAGCAGTTTAAATTATACAGTAAGCAAAAGTCCTCATAGGACAGCCAACATTCATTGTCGTTTATATGTCTTATTGACCAAATTGTCAGGACCTCAGAACCTTGGACCCAATATTCAAACGGACAGATCAGGATGATTTTCAACAGGCTATATTTTAACAAACAAATACGGCGAGTGGCTGGTCGTCAGGACGGATAACCAGATTCTCTGCAGAGAGGGCAGAAACAGGTCATTGACTGGATTGTCAGGTTGATAGCGACTAGGAGCAAAAAGTCACTGACTTGGTTTCGAAGTACAGTCCGATCCCAGAGAATGGGAGGAATCCGGGGGGGAGTTTGCCCACTGCTTACAGCCGTAGCCGCTTCCAAAACTCTGGGTGATGATGAGCTGACACAAGCTGAACGCCAAGGAAGCAAGAGTGTCTGTGAGGGACTATCCAGAGACAAGGTTGAATCTAAACCAGGTTGACAGACCAGGAGATCAGAGAGCCAAAGAGGTACCGAAGGGGAATCAGTCAGTAACAAAGTCCAAGTTCGGTACACCAGCAGAATCCGGGAAGACAGTTCAAAAACAAAAACTGATAAAAAGCAGACAAGGGCAAACTCGAATATCCAGAAGCAGAAAAAAAGTCAAAATCAGAATCACAAAAAAACTCACTTGATAGCAAGAGTTACTCTCACAAACAGCTCGAATAATTTGGTGCTGATGGTAGGCAAGCAAACAAAATAAACGGCTGAGGGAACAAGGCGGAAACAATTGGCGTTTATCAGCCGCCAGACCAATTAGACAGGTGAGCAGGAGCAAATGAAAAAGCCAACCATCAGCGTCAAGACCATGACATAAATGGCCTTTTCCCTCCAGTCATGGAAAATACCAATACTTATTTGAGGCTTCTAAGCATCCGATGCAGGTCCAGCAGATTCCATAACAGTTTCTCTCCCACTGCCATTAGACTGCTGAATGTTGTATAAAATCGGTTATTTTATTTATTAAAAAAAAATGTTAGAACTGTAAATACATTTTTTATGTATTTATTACTGTTTTCAAGGCTGCACTTTAAAAAAAGAAAATTGTCTGGAACAGTTTTAAATGAAAATTCTAAATAAATCAAATCTGTCTAAGTCTAATTTCTATGTAGCACATATCTATTATTCCAGATAAGAGACGATGGGGGACAAAATTGAGCGTGTAGATAAGTTTCCAGCATAACAATAATTGTTTGTGAAAGGAAGCTAGCTCCATGGGGAGTTTATCGACTCTAGTTTTTAATTTAGAAAGGCTTTGAATCAACTTCGCTTTTACTTTGAAAGTCTTTGAATAAACTGCTATCAGCACAAGAGACCTCACAGTGCAGCTCTGCAGCCAGTGCAGATCCTGGTTCTAACAGTGCAGGTCTGCAGCCCTCTCACATATTTTGCCTTCTTATCTGTTTCCTTTCTGAAAAACTTTAACTAATAGAAACAAGTGCCATTAAATCTTTAAAAAAAATCAGATTTCCTTAGAAATTTTCATCATTCGTTGAATTTTTTCCATTTTTCAGTAACAAACAGCTGAGCTAACTTTATTCCAACCAAAACTATAAAAAAGCCATTTCTGCTACTCTTCTAACTTCCTGTAGTGCCCATGCTACAAGCTAATCTAAGAGGAAGGTTTCAAATGCTTATTAAAATGTTTTTTCTCTCTAATGCCACAGCTTTTACCCTAACTTCGCTTCCAAGGTTTCAAATTATGTATTTTGCTGCAACCTCTCCAATTTTTTCTAATCATATTTTTAAGAGTAGCTCACAGGTTGATATTTGGTTCCTGATTTTTTTTTTCTCTCAGTCTATATTGATGTTAGCTTCAGTGGCGGTTCTACACCAAATGTTCCAGGGGGTGCCGGGGGTTGGGGGGTCAAAGGGGCACAGAAATGGATGAAGCAAAAAAACTGGGCTAGGTATTCAAATATATTAAAAGCTGCATGAAGTGAAATTTCTTCAATCAGGTTTAATTAAAATAATATGTCTTCTAACTGAAAATATTTATTTTTGCCTCAAAAATGTTCATTTGGATTATCGTTAAAATCAAAATAAAAGTCCCTTAGCATAGTTAAAAGGCAACTCAAGAAATTGCAGCTATATAAATATATAAAAAAAATATCAAATAAAGCTATTATTTGGAATATTAGGTCAAGATACATTCATAATTTAGGAATGTTATATATTTTTAACTTAATTTAAGTTAAAATTATAGTTTTCTATAAAATCAGAATTAGAACTCAATACAAACTGATAAATTCAGCTGTAAAAGTTAGATTTATTTATTTTTTTCAAAAAAAAAACAACAGATGAAAACTGGGATCCTATCTCTAAAGCTATCACCTTAATTTAAATAACTAGTAAAACAGAATTTTTTAAAGAAAAAAAAATTTTAAATCGATCCAAAAAGGACCTATCAGAAACCATGTATGCTCCAGCACATATCATCATCAGAATTTCTCTTAGTATTATGTCTTTAGTACAGGGGCCACAACAGGGGCCAGGACTAGATCTAAAGGGGCACTGGCCCCGGTAGGCCCCTGTCTAGAACCGCTAATGGTTAGCTTGCTCACTTTTTCTCTCTCTCTAAATTATTCCTGTGTCTTTTGCATCTACTTTAGCATATTTAGTTACTTTAACACAACTGTTTTATGATAGAATGTTAGGATATGAAACAATTGTGTTACAGTAACTAAATATGCTTGAATATTTACTTGGTTTCTCTAAGTCTTGCTATTTATTAATATCTCTGCACGTATTATTCTCTGATATCTTATAGACAAAATGGTTTTACCAATTTTCCGATTTTTTTTAAAATCTCTTGTAGTTAAGTGTTACTTAAACATAGTGCAACATTTTTTCCAATATAAAAGCGTGTATTATAGACACATTTACAGCCTTAAAGTGATCTATTATTTTGTGTAAAACAAGCTGAAGTGGAGAACTTCAAGCAGCTGGTTCTGCTTTTGCCTTACCTACTTACTTACCTTCAATCATAGCTTCTAAAATGAGACTGCAGTGTTGGAATATGAAGTAAAATTAAGGAAAGAATATGGTTGATATTAGGAAAATAGAGAAGTGGACCGATCCTGTGTTAGGTTTACTTTTCACATTGTTTTTTTTCTGCAACTTTCTTTTTCATGACCCTTATCATATGCTCTGTTCAATTGCATGTTTATCTTCTCACTTTCAGGTCACTACATCATGTCAGACAGCATCCAATTCTGAGCCGGTGAGTACTCGGAGTAAATGCATGCATTCTGTCCAATAATAGTCTTTGGGGAAAATGCAAATGGTTTCTGGTCTTTGAAATCCTCTGCTTAAATTATGGGGGTCCTTTCTGAAATTGTGGCAAGGCTTAAATGGGTTAAAGGTCAGCAGCTGCAACTGTTAGCTTAGAGATGATGAGAGCTTATTATAGATGTAGACAGAGATTAAGTTAAAGAAACTATTATGGTGGCAGAGGAGTGGAAATGTAATGAAAATACTCAGTAAATACAAAAAGTTCTGCAAAGACAAAAAAACGCTAGCAAACCAAAAAATAGGTCAAAACACAAACTGCATGCAAAGGAATACTGTAATGCTGCAGTTAAAAAAAATGTCAAGTAGGAAATTGTATTTGCTTAAATTTTGTGATTGGCTCTACAAGAATCCCTCACACTGAGCATGCAAGCAAAAAGGAGCATAGATCACTGATCCACTATCTATGTAAGGGAAGCGGTAAACTAGCTCTACAAGTGCCTCTGTGTAGCCGCTCACACTGAGCCTGGTTCTGCTGGAGGTTTCTTCCTGTTAAAAGGGAGTTTTTTCTCTCCACTGTCGCTACAAGCATGCTTAGTGTGAGGGATTGTATTTGAGTCAATGAGTTGATGCAATCAACTAGTTTTCCTTAGATAAAAAACCTTGAATCAATTTGACTGTATGATCTGGTTGAACTGTAAAGTGCCTTGAGATGACTTGTCCTGTGAACTGGCGCTATATAAATAAACTGAATTGAATTGAATTGTGTAGGAAAGAAACAGTTAAATAGATCAGATGTGAGCCCGTTTTCATCAAATTCGATGCAAGAAAGAACATGCAGTTTGTCACAGTAAAAGCTAAGCCCATAGCTATGTCAAAGAGAGAAACGAGAACAAACATTGAAAAGCAGTAAAAAGCAATTTCAATAGTTGGAGATGTTGATGGCGGCAGCCCAGATGATGGTTTGATCCAGGACTGAGTCACAGCTAATCACAGCCTGATGAAGCTACAATGACAAGAAAAAGCAGAAAGGACAAAGGTAGAAGTTAAACTATCAAATAATACAGAACAGAAGTAGAATAAAGCAGAGTGATGAGAGGGCTCCCTATGTCCTCCAGCAGTCTAAGCCAATAGCAGCACAACTATAGAGATAGCTCAGGATAACATGAGCCACTCTTTAAGCCTAATCTTAAAAGTAGACAGGGTGTCTGCCTCGCAGAGGCAAGGAGAAACTGGTATTAGCAGTTAGTTGTAGGAAAGTTTGTGGGTTTAAAAGTGGAAAAAAAAAATTCACTGTTTCCCTTAAAACCCGTTTACGAAAGGGTTACGGCTACGGCTGTAAGGGTTGTGTTGGGGGGGAAACTGTGCCAAACGAAAAAAAGAAAAAACTATAGTAACTGCATAATATTTAATGCAGAGCTAAGATAGCTAATATTAGAAACTGCACAGCTTCTACTGCTGTTTTGGCAATACAGCAGAGATGAAACTGTGGCATTTGCTCAGCTCTCTGTCTTTTGGTTAGTATGTTGTCAGGCAGTAAAATGTTTATCAGCTAGTTTTCTATTACTCTAAATGGTAATTCATGGTGCTTATATAGCACAGGAAATGAACCTGATAACTAAAAGATTTCCCATTCTTCTTTTAGAAGTTCTACAAACCACTAGTAAACCTGTAGATTAAGAGCAAAGTGCTGTCTTAGGAAGATAAGGAACCATTAGATCCTTGATATAAGATGAAGAAGCTTGGTTATTGACTGTTTTGGAATAACTCCTCTCGTTTATGTTAACCCTAACAAGAGAAACTCACGTTAATGATTCCAGCACATTCCTAAAGGTCTGTATCCAAGTTTGAAACTCTGACGATACATAAACACTCAAGGACATACTTGAAATTTCTTACATAATTTACTGATGGTTTCTTTATATTTTAACGTCTTCCTATCTGTTGGTATGATTTATAACACATAGAAAACATTTTCTAAACATAAAAAGTGTTTAAAGTTTCCAATATTTTTCATTTTTTCAGTGTCTCTGATTGAACCTTAACGAAAAGCTGCAAGACAAGGACAAATCGGCTTTAGCCAAAGTGATTATTCCAGTTGTTTAGGGCTGGCTGCTTTTATAGGGCAGAATATGATTCATGCACTGTGGCACAAAGACTTTAGTCATCTTCCTTTTAATGAGATTGAAATAGAAGTTTTCATTTCCTTCCATTAAAAATCTAAGCCTAGTAAATGGTCAACTGTGATTAGAAGTCAAGTAGATTAATCATTGTTCCAATTTGAAAGGTTTGTCCTGCCTATTATCTTTAGGATTAATTATGCTTTTAACTAGTATATTTCAAAAAGTGTCCTGATTTCGTTTCCCCATTTTTAGCTAAAACTGTTCTGAAAGACAAGTAGCTCATGGAGTGACTGCATCTGACAGACGAGGCATTTAAAAATACAGGATCAGTAGAACAAATCTCTAACTACCGTCCATAAATTTCATACCTTTTAACCTCTCTTTTACCTCGTTGTGAAAGAAAACCACTGACCTTCCAATTCCCCCTTTCTTTCTCTGCAGCCTCCCACTCCGCAGCTGCCGTTAAAGCATGTAGATACACCGGTAAGTATCTGTCCACCCATAAATTCCACTGTTATTGTTGGTGCTTTGTGGTAACCGAGTTCATGGGAAATACAGTTTAGAACTTGTTGTTTTAAACTCAGATTAAAGACCAAAAGAAGAGATACGGCCACGTTGATACTGTTTGGATTACTTTTATTGATGATGTATGAGTCTGTTAAACCCTAATAATTCCTGCTTCTTACGTGTTAGGGCTGATGTTTTTACCAAGCAGTTTATCTAATTAGGACAGTTCTGTCAGACCTACAGTTATCATGTTCATTATGTACATAACAGAGATTTGGAAATTATACGGCGGAACAGCCAGAGTGGAACTTTTCTTAAGAGCGAGTTCCCTGTGCCTTTATCTGGGACACTGAGTAATACTGTAGTTTTAGTCGGAGCCATAGATCCAAACATTTTAAAAATGTGTATGATGTAATGATGTGACACGTGATGATGTGGCAGGAGGAGATGGAGCTGTATAAAATGCTTCATTAATGTTGATTCACGGCCGACTTCATGGAGAAGGAAGCCTGGTTGGTAAGCACTGTCTTCTGTAACTAAACAAACTCTCTGGTCTGAGTAAGATTACAATTTATATCATGTTATGTCATGGTTATTTAATATATATACATTATGAAGTGTTTAAAGATGTGTTTTAAAGATTTTGTCCCGAGTGATCTCTTCTCAGGAACAGAACTGTGGAGAGAAAGTTTCAAGGTGTAAACGCACAGGTTTACTTTACAACACATAGCTTGAATGTTTTCAATTTAGCACAGCACAGGTTACTTTTTAAAGAGCTGGAACATCTAGTAAGGGGATTACAAAATGTAAGGGACAAAAACTAAAACTCAAGCTATATTATAGTGCCAAAGAATCAGCCTTGATGAATACAGAGGTTGCTACAAGTAGGGGTTCTACTTTAGGTCCCATGAGCTCCAGGTGGTCACATCATGGTATTTTAAATTCTTAAACTTAACTGTTACCCCTCCAGGTCTAAGGGATCAGGGGGTGATAGCATAAAAAGTGAGTCCAGGGGTAAAAGAAGGACATTTAAAAGGATTTATTAGAAAAAGCAAGGTTCCCACATACAATGCACCTGACAGAAATGACAAATCCAGCCTTGTTCTCTTAAATACAACATTCTAGATTGAACTAGAAAACAAACAAGAGCTAAACCACACTGGTAAGAAGAGCACGGTGGTTCAGAAATTACAAAATAATGTGCAGCTGCCCATTCTTCTAAAGAACCAAAGCAAAGTGGTGGTCTGTTGTACAAAGCCTCTCCCAAAAGCTACCCAACTGAAAGAATGACTCCAGAAGCGATTTATAGGGTACAGGCGGGTCCCATCATCCACTACTTCTCTTAGTGATTCAGCTGGTCCAATCAGGTTCCTTAGCACCCTCCAGGCAGCCAATCAACTGACTGAGCTCCCACACCTGAATCTGCATAAAAGAAAAGACTGCTAGGCCAGGTACTGTTGCTTTAACTATTCAAAGGAAGCTAGGATTGTAAGAACTTTATTTTGCTAAATGCCAAAACAGTAAGAGAGATTCAAAAACGATTTGAAACGACAGATTTCTAAATAGATTTTCTTGGTATAAGAAATGCCTTTAAATTGTGGGCATCCTTCCACAAGCTTCTTGAAGTACTTTGCTGGAGTTTTTTTACTGAGTCCTCATGACAGAGCTTGCGATAACTGGTTTTGGAGTAATGGCTTCTTCTTGCTGAGCGGCCTTTCAGTGCATGTTGATATAACAACTCACTTCAAAATTACATTTTTTTGCTTAGCCATACTGCAGGCCATATATGACAATTTACTGCACATTTGTTGCAGTTTTGCTTTTGTGTCTAAGCTGTCTATTTGGTGCACTCCTCGGGTCTAGACAGTTGGAGTTGGTCCAGGTGAGGGATCCTCAAATCTGGTCCTCGAGGTTTGGCATTCTGCATGTTTAAGACGTGTGTTTAAGAAGTGTCTCTGCTTCAACACACCTGAGACAAATAATCAGGTATTTAGCAGGACTTTGAAGAAGTTGACTCCATACTGAGGAGGTAATTCAGCCATTTGATTTCGATGTAGAAGAGGATACACTTCTAAATGGGACAGGACCTTAAAGACCAGAAGAGAGGAACCCTGGTCTTGATACAGACCCTATATCCTGCAACTCCTTTTTTCAGCTTTGAATTTATATATAAATGTTTTTCTCTTTTAGTTTTATGTTCACCTTCTTTGTAATTTTATCTTATATAGTGCATGATCTAAAAACAGACGCAATGGAAATACAGATAAACACAGTGTGATCATATTTTGCCAGACTGCTCGGATGATGCTGTTAGACAGGCAATTTTGAAGACTACAGCTGCAGGTTCAGCTAGCAGAAAACACTCTCATGTGGGGGGTCCAACAATCTGGGCATATTGTTTGAGCAAACAATTATTGTTTCTTTGATTTGTCAACCCTAGGCCTAAGTATAGCCCTAACTCTAACCTACACAGGAGTAGGTATTTAAATGGAGAAAATATAAAGTACATCTAATTCTCTCTAAAAAGTCACGAAATATTTTTTCATGACTTTTTTGAGAGAATTACATGTACTTAATAAGTTTCGGATAAAAAGTACTTCATTATTTTTAGTGACCTGGATGAACATCCACTTGGACCTGGATGAATATCTGCTTGCACTGGGTAAATTAGTGATTCTTAATAATGGCACAGATTGTGCTTCCAGTCCAGATCCAGTAACATCATTATTAGCTAAAACCAGGAAGTAAAGAGTACTAATTAAGGATGCAGGGTTTCCTGAAAAGTAGCCAGTTTTGCATACTTGAGTAGGCGAGAAACTACATGTACATTAAAAGAAAGAGAGGGAGCATACATTCATGAGTGTGAAATATTGGGCCTCTTGGCCTTGAATTTGCACTTAAAAACTTTTAAAATGTACATGGAGAGTATTCTATGTGGGGATGTTTTAAATAAAACTGCTGGTATGATTATTTATCACGCTTGGCAGAATTCTGACTCCATATTGCGGTGTTGAGAGTAGTATTGCGGTGTTGGCATGTAGTCCATGCAACGCTCCTAAATCTTTTTTTTTTTTTTAAAGAAAGTTATAAAACTTCTCTCTCATTATTTTAGCATTAACTAACCATAGTAATGTTGGAGGTCTTACCTGACCTCAAAAAGGAAATGGTTGTTCTGACTTCTCCACTTCCTCACAAATGGGACCTTTTAACAATGTTTTAATAATGTATTGCAAATAACCCGCCAAAACTTTAGATCCAGAGTTCAGACATTCATCATTACAAAGTTTCTAAACCCTGCAATAAAATGCATCCAGATATTAAACAATAATACACTCTGATGACATGACTGGAGGTGTTTGACTGATCTTTGACGGGATTAAATGTTTAAACACTGTGACAAATGGGACTGAATATAAGCAGAGCTAACGTGTAAGGAGAAACTGTTTATTTAAAGCAGCAGACAGAAGAAAGAGACCATTTGGCGCTTTGATTGAATCCATCCCTGATTAAAAAAAAGGGGGACTCATCATTTTCTTCCATGTTTTTCAAAGTAAAGCAAACAAAGAAAGCGCCACTGATGTCTTGCATCCCGCACCTTACCACACTTCTTTTCTCACGACTCAGCGTTTGTGTCAGATGTTGCCCAAATAATTAGATAAGCAATGACTCACAGAATCACAGATGGGCCCTTTCTACACCAGCCTGTACTGTATGAACACTGATACAAAGCTCTGCGCAAAGAAAGTAGAGCAGAATATTGCCAGAAAAAGGCTCAGCAATTATCTTCTTTCTGCAGTCTAAAAGTCGAATCATTAGCTCCAAGAGCACAGAAGTAGTAAAATAGATTTTCCTCTAGAAAGAAATTTGTTTAAATCATTCTAAAAATGATAGCATTTTAACAGATATGTTTGCTTTTTAATTCAAGGTATCATACGCTTGCAGCGTGTCACTAAAGGAGGGAGTTTTGTCCTTTTTTGCAGGATGCTGAAATGCCATGACTTTAGCTGACTCATGGGGGGATTGGGGGGGCCTGTTGAGGCCAGATTAACCAGAAGTTGGCAGAAAGGAAAAACTGAATGAACTCCAAACATCATAAAGGAAAATGTAGCATATCAGACATTTGAAAACATTGTTTTTTCTCTTAAAATGTGTTTTTCTTCCAGTCTTCTGCATTTTTATCAGCTTCTCCTCACTAAGATGGAGTATGGGCTTGGTTAGAACATCTACAAAAATAGCTGAGAGACAGCGAATGTTAGGAATACAGAAATGATCAGAGCAGGAGGAGACAACATTTTCTTGCAAGCAAAGAACAACTTAATTTTAAGCCTAAAAAAAGGTATCTAAAAATAAAACCTCCTTTTGATAAAGAAAAACTCAATCTGGAAAACAGATATATTAAAAAATGCAATTGTAAAATTTGTTTAGAAAAAGCAAGAAAAATAGTTTCATATTTGCAGATAGCAGATTTTCAGATTTAAAACTTTAAAAGATTAAATAAAATATAATGAAATAAAATATGAGAATGCAGCAAAGATCCTCTTAAAATGTCTTTTGAATGAAGAAGTTTTATCCCTGGCCTGCATCTTTTAATTTAAATTCAGAAAATAAAATGTCTTTTTTCAAATCCAAATCTGCAAAGCATGTTCTTTTCTTGCAACAATAGCAAAAATCCCTCCATGTATAATGATGAATCAAATCATAACTTTAAAAAAAAAAATAATTTTTCACTTGAGACTGTGAAAGTGCTGAAAGCTCGAGTTTCTTTGAAGTCAAATTTAAAAACCCATTTTTTTTTAGAGCTGCCTTTTACTGTTAAAGTTAAACTATTATTGGGTATTATTAGTTCAATCTAAAAAACTCACATGACGAGAAAAGACAATTAGGAGAAATGTATTGATGCAATTACTTTGTTTTTGGTGCACAGACCTCGGCAGGAAACATAGCGTTTAATTTTGATAGATATGCAGGAACAGGAGCAAAGAATAGGGCTGTTTCCTCCCAGGCCTAAAACTGGTGGTGGATTGGAGATAGATGAAGTTGGTCAGTCTGTAGACTGCTGGTTAGTGAGACGGTATGCTGAGCTTTATGGGGAGATCCAGTGGACTGTGTGAGCTGATACTGGAGCTTAACTCAGGGACCTGGAAAATGGAAGACCAGCTTGGATAACACAGGTTGAGAGAACCTGTCCATGATAGCATGCATTAAGCGACAGTGGAGAGGAAAAACTCCCCGTAGGGAAGAAACCTCTGGCAGAAGAGGCTCAACATGGCGGTCTTCTGCCTGACCAGTTGAAATGAGACAGGGAACGCAGTAAGAGTCCGGGAGGAATGACACTCTGATGAAGCTTTAGCTACGATGGTGGAGGAGGAGCTGGAGGTGGGTTGAAACGGGGTCATCTGAATGAAGTCACACAGCGCATCCACCGCCTGCACACAGGGGCAGACAGGTGCATATCGAAGGCCTTTTAAGATGAGCTTTGGATGCCGATTGGCTTTGATGGAGGTGTGGTTCAAAGCTGATTGGCTGTGTCGCAGGTGGATGAAGGAAAGCAATGAGTTTTTTCAGTTGAACTTCCGCCTAGGCTCCATTTTACGCTTGTGGTCGACCTTTTATTCAATTCAATTGCAATTTATTTTTACAGATAACACAGACAGATTGGTAAAATTGTTTCTATTTAAGCAAAACCAGCTGATTCTCTGCAATCCCTCACACCGAGCAGGTATGGAGTGACAGTGGAGAGGAAAACTCCCTTCTTGTTTCTGAACAAGCCATCTTAAACGCTACAACATTTAAGGGGCCAGCTAGCTTTAAGCTAGCTTCAGACTTACCCAATTTTCATCTTACAGTACAGACCAACTGTAGGTCTAACGTAATTGGAAGAGGTTTTAGAGAGCACCTCAAGAGCCATAGCCGTGCCTGTGCAATTCTTGTTTGAGCGAAACAATCATACACTCATGTTACCACAGAAAATGTCCAGCTGTCTGGGTAAAAGCTACACAGTCTGGACCTGGAGCGGAGGCTGCCAATTGCTGACCGAAGGTTTAATTCAAGTAAAGCACTATGAATTGTCTTTTAACTGAATTGTGCTTTACAAATAAACTCGCTTTGTTTCTTTTTTTTTTTATTTCAAATGACAAAACATGTTTTTTGCCTGCATCAATAATGGAGAAAATTCACTCCATAGAAAAATAAAAAATATATAAATATAAAGAATGAGAATTAAAAAAGGTTGTATCTTTCTTTTAAAGCTTTAAGAATCTTATTTTCTTACCTTTTGTCAACATAGTGTTTATTTTTTTACTTAAAAATGATTCCTATGATTTCTTCTGGATTAAAGGTTTTGGCCCTGTTCTTTAAACAGACTATTGAAGACTGAAATTTGCTTATGTCTCTTTTCCTTTGCTCTCTTCTCTTTTATGTTGTGGCTCTTAGGGATCTACGAGGTCGTGCAAAAGCGTGGAGATTCGGAGAAAGCAGTCAGGGTAATTAATGTACATTCGTAGTAAAATGATGTCGTATTCCCGCACCACTGCTTGAGCTCTGTTGTAACAACAGAAGAAATTGTTTAATCATTATATGTTATAATATAGATAAAGTTTTTAAATAACTATTTTGTTTTCAAAAGTTATGAGAACTCTTGTCAATTCCTAAACTGTTAATACCTTAATTATAGTATTTTGTCACCTGCTGCTGTAAGTATGACATAACACAGGGGCCTGTTTCATGTACAAATTAAACATTTTGGACAAAGAATCACAAATTTACAGGGAATTTGTTTTTTTTTAAGTAGAAACCACATTTTTAAGTAGAATTCACAAATTTACTAGTTAAAAAAATCACAAATGTACAATAGCAAATCACAACTTTACATGACTATCCTAGTCTTTGGTTAGCTGAAGAGAACTGTCAAGCATTTTAGCAACAGAAAAAGCCTCATTAATCTTCTTGGCCTGTGCCTATCAGTTAATAAACCCCAAAGTTCTTTTTTTGTTGTTTTGCACTTTTGGTTAGTGGAATTGGGTGTGTAATTTCAGCAGAGGTCCTTTCAACACTCAACACTGGAATGTAAACAGTAGCATTTCCAACAAGTACATATCTAAGCTGTGGGAGTTTATATTTGATCAAGTGGATCTTTTTCATCCATTCCCCAGAGATATTTTATATAATTCATCTCACAGCAGCTGTGAAAAAATAAAGAAATAAAAAATTAACTCAGGTAATTTTGTAAAGGAAAATGCCCACTCTGATCTGAGGGTTGAGAATTGAATGTTTAGAAAATTGACAGTTTTTTTCATGGGATAAGTAGGGGGTGAAAATACTGCCAATAAAATGTATGAGTACCGTATTTTCACGACTATAAGGCGCACTTAAACAAAAAAAAGTCTTTTTTCCCTCAAAATGTGCGGTGCGCCCTATGGTGCGGTGCGCCCTATGTGTGTTGTAACTGCGACTTTTGAGACCACCTCATTGAGGAGATGAT